CGTTTTGAAACAGGAGGAGTTGACAGGTAATCCAGCGGCATCTATGTTGAAAAAATTACACATGAGGATACTAATGAAGGCTAAAAAGTGGTATGGTACGTAAGTCAATACACAAAGAACATGTCATCTTTGATGCCATGACAATGATCTAATGAATAGCGCCTCTTTGTTTGTATCTTCCCTCTCTTGAATCAAATCTTTAAGCTACCAAATTCACCACTAAAGATTAGCTGGTAAGAATTTTTTATCATTAACTACGTTAGGAGACATTAACGTAAGAATTTGTTGTTGTCAATAACAAAGTAAAGAGATATGAACATCAATTTTAGGTTGACAAAGAGCAATGATGTACAAATTATTTAAAGAAGAAATTTCAAATGTTGTTCTTGCTTTCGAAACGAACTGGATTTAGTTCTTGACTTCATCACCGGACTGTAGCAATACAGCTTGCAAACAAAACTTGATACTAGCAATAAGACGATGTATATGATAGATAAACGAGACTATCTAAATAAGAATAAAAACTTCAATATAGAAATAAATTTGAGCAGAACTTCTTATCTCCAGTCACTGCTTACTTTTACAACTTCAACTTTTTGTCGACACGGAATATTTGATAGATTAATGAAACTATTAAAAATTAATGCCTTAAATTGAAAATAAGAATAAAAACTTCAATATATAAATTAATTTTAGCACAACTTCGTATCTCTAGTCACTGCTGACAAGAAAATCCTTTAACAAATTTCAACTTTTTATCACCTTAAAATCAAAGGCTAGCAACAGCTGGACTTGCACGATTTGAGTAAAGTTTAATCCGAGTTTTGTAAATGTCAATGAAGAAGTCTGGAATAATCGATGCCTAATTGAAGAAGCCTCCTATTGAAGGGCACAGAAGTACTAATCTTTTTTGCCAAAATTCATATCGTTCCTCTTTTTGATACATGTAGTTCAAAATGACCATTAGCATTAGATAATAACAGTGTATTAGGAGTTTCAATTCAAGCTTTGCGCACCAATATAAAAGTAGGAGGGCTGAAAAGGGCATGACCAAGAATGTGTTAGACCACGCCTATTAAAACGCCGGAAAACGCCTATTTTGGAATATGCTTTCTTCTTTCCACTTATTATTTATAAACAGTCTGATTCAGAGAAGATTTCAATTATTATAAAAATAGATATAATTAGCTTGACGATAATTAAACACCAGTGTAACCGAGTTAAAAATTTCAATACATCATTAAACAAGATAAAACGTTCGCTGTCATATTACTGCCGAAATGCTGCATAAAATGCTGACTCTACTAACCTGCGCAGATGCAATGCAAGCTCCTGTGCAGTTCTCACCGTTAGGATTGCAAACAAATGAAGAATATTGGTCAATTAGCGTCTGTCCGAGCTGCAAGTAAGAGGCGTTTTTAATCATATCCGTGCAGTCAGTGCATCCCAGTTGAATCTCACTGTTACCGGTTGAACCGAAATCAACTTTGAAAGTTTGGAGGACGGCAGTCGTAGTTTTGGCCACGGAAGCAGGGACATTGAACAGCGAGTTTCTGCACATGCCTTTGAGGAGGCTGGGCAAGAGGATGAGAAAGTTATTCTTTGCGGTTAGAGTGTCATTGTCTGTTTTATTTGGATCAAGGGTACGGAACGGCTCCAGGTAGGTTTCTGCCTAGGAGAGATTATAAAAATAATTATAAAAGAGACAAATTTGATCAAGCAATCTTTATGAAACAATCTTCTAGCACTCACAATTGAATTTATTAACACTTTGAATCTTTTTGCTTTTTGTAAATTATTTTATGGTAAATTAGCATTGGAAAGAGGTAGTGAATTATTTTTCATGCAGAAAACTCAATTAACATGAAGACAAAACTATTACGAAATGGTAAACTCATTATATGTTTTCATAAACTAAACTCTGATAACAATTTTTTTAAAGTGAGTAATTTAGGCATCATATGTAGTGGGGCTAAATAAAAAAAATTTGAGCAAAAAAAGTCCTAAGTAGCTAAGAACCTATTCAAGGGATTTAAAATACGTTTTAGCATCGGATTCCAACCCATTTTGTTACGAAAACTATTCCCGTTCACATGGATTTATTTTTATACAGTTTCTTGGGCATTGAGATTTCAATGGATGATGTCACAAAAATTAATTTTTAGAATTTTTGAATTTGGATACCAAAACCTGAAAGACCAGCTTGAAAAATTACGAATGAGCTGAGCTATGGTCACATGAGCACAGGTTTGTTCCTAATCAAATCTCTGTAATTTGGCCTATGTTCATAACTTTAGCAAACTTCATATCTTTAATTGGCCATATCTCAACTGACTTTTGACATAATTAGCAGATTTTGTCTATTTCGAAGTATTTTGTGCTCTTTTATGTTATGTGGTCAAAATTTAAGAAAATCCAACAGTAATTTATTTCGTATCACATATCAGAATGTTATTCACACGACAACGCTACGTTGCGCGGTATGTACACTTCCGTAAAAAGGTGGGCGTTGACTCAGGTCCACGTTTTTCAACAAGATAACATCTTGCACTACATTTAAGTGTTCTTTTGTGTAATGTGGACAAGTTTTTTAACTGCACATTTTAATGAAAATAGGGGATATTTTGGCGGGACCCTTGAAAAATTTTCGGACCACGCCTTTTAATTTAGTAGCTTGGAAACCAATCTATTAATGGTTTTTGATGTCGTGATTGATATCTCATCTAAAACCATTGATGATACAGGAGGTCGACCGATTTAACTTCTGACAAGTCATTCAAGACACATAAACTAAAAAATAGCAGTAAATTAAACATTGAAGTTCATTTTCTGCTTTTTATCTTTTTTCCTTTTTTTCATTTTCTACCTAGTTTTATTTCTTTTTTCAGAGGAATATATGTTTGAAAAAACTTTTGTTTGGAAGAATTCAAGGGAAAGTTTGGCTAATCTTTGCGGAATGGAAATAAGATATGCAATTCGCAAGCAGTTTTGATTTTGTCATATTATGTTTGTTTGATTATTTAGTACTAGCTAATAGTGCATCACGTATGTTCAAGGGCACGAAGAGGTCATAGAGGGCTCTGGGGAAAAGGGGGAAATGGCAGATCTCCTGCAGATCGAAGCAAGCAGAACATTTTGGCAAACACGCCCTTTAGATTAGCTTAAAATACACTCAAGAATGATTTTTTGCAGTCATCAACTTTCGCCTAAAATAGTTTAGTATTTTAGCCATACTTCTGTTACGTTTGATAAATTCAATTCTTCAAATCTACTTTTTTACTCTATAAGGTTCCTTGCACCTGATCCCTCAAGTCCCCTATCAAAGTTTGTGAAAAATACGGATTATTCGCTATCTTTTACTACAAAGCCTGGTTCACACATGTGAAGCAAGAGCTGAAGCAGAAGCAAGTGAAGTGTGAACACACATGAAGCAAGTGAAGCAAACATTAAGCATGAAGCATGCGTTGAAGCAAGAATATCAAAACGATTTGATAATCTTGCTTCACTGCTGGGTTTGTTTCACCTTTGCCTCGTGCTTGCTCAATAAGTTTTGTAGTGTGAACGACGTACGCAGCGCGTACACATTGAAATGAATACAGAGTCACGTGGTAAAAATATAATCTGCATGCAGCAAGTACAACATGGAGGAAGAAGAATTTGCAAAAGCTGTAAGACAACACCTTGTTTTTTACGATACGTTGGAAAGTATTTTTAGAAATACGAATTTTTGGAACCGTGGGCTGCTTTCCCGGTGGGCTCATTCAGTATATCATGTGAGTTCCAAAAAGCTCTGAAAAAGGGTTGTGTGAAAGATGGAATTCTAGGAAATATAATCTTGAAAAAAGGGTTGATTTCTCAGTCAGATGAACAACAAAAGGGATTGGAAGTTACTGATACGATGCTACAGATAATTTTTTTTGGTAAATCAAAATACCAAAAAAAAGTACCACGAATTTTGCAGTAGCATCAAATTTAAGCCTATGCTAGTTTGTACTCATTGCAAGGTATTATTTGGAATTTGATACAACTTTTCCACTTCTTCATAAAACACATAGAACACAGTGTTGTGAAGTAAGCAATGTGTTGCATTTAAAGTTTTACAGCTGTCTTATTTTGTTATTTTGTATCAAGTACCATAAAGGCATCGTTGTCATAAACAGATTTAGTGAATTCTCTCCTTAGTATGCCTTTCACCATAGGTATAAAAAAATAGAATGGTTCTTACATGAATTGGATTAAAAAATACTTGCTCAAGTTTAAATGTTCTCAGTGAAAAAGGTTATAAAATTTTGGCAAATTCAGAGAAAATGGTACATTTCACACATCCCAGAATCAGAGATTACGGCCCATTTTCTTCTTTCAGGAACATTCATGATATACATTAGACCAACTAACTGAGCCCTCCTGCCGGGTCTGCTTTCGTCTGTAGCTGCTTTCGTCTATGTATTCGACGTTTTAGAACAAGTATCTAAATGAAAGTAAAACTTCTTTCCCGTCCATTTTTGTTCACATCACTGACCACCTCGCTGTTTATGAAAGATTCGTCTGAAGCCGATCAAGGAAGCCTATGCTTTTACATCAGATTTGACTAATTTGCTTGCGCGTGTGTGAACGGCTTAATTCACATTTTGCTTCATTCCTTGCTTCATCCAAAATGTTTTAACTACGCATGCCTACTTCGCTTACTTCAGCTCTTGCTTCACCCGTGTGAACCAGGCTTAACTTATAGTTTTATCGCTGCATGTTTCATCTGTTTATCAGCACACAAGGCGTTTTATTGCTGCACAAATAGATTATCGCTGCACCTTAAAAATGGGTTTGTCTTGGATGGGCCTTTGGCACGATAAACGTTTAAACAATTATCTGACGAAAGCCCGAAATTCCCGACGAGAACGCTGATTGGTGAGGGCGTCCTGAGACTCCCCCATGCTCGCCATAATTGCCGCCACTGGCCACATATCTTTTTTGCCTCTAACGGATAAAAGTAATGAAATATTTACCTCTGACACTGTTATCGGTGTGACTGGTGCTGGTGTTACAGATCTCCTTCTACGTGAAGTTTTCTTTTCGGTAACAACAAACTGTACAAAGATTTTTGACATAGTCTTAACCATTTCCGGGCGTGCGTTCTTCTTTGTCATTCCCTTGAAACAGGATTTAACTGAAATTGCGACGATCACCTTCTGTGAACTTGTTTTCACACCATTTGTATTTCTACTAACCTAAAAAAGAAAACGTTTCTTATTAGTAATTTTAACCACTAAAAAGAAGAAAAATTGAATTTTTCGAAAACCAATGTAAAGATACCAAAAAAGCTTTGAATGTTTCATGTCAAACCCTCAATAGCCCTTTGCAAGATTTGATAGAAATCACTTCCACGGAAGAACATAAATGGCACTACAGAAACACCATGTCCCATCCAGTAAATTAAATTAGTTGATTGAAAAGGATATTTTGGATATATTTGAATGTAAAAAGCGAAGTATTGAAACACGATATAGGAAAATTATTAAGACGGGAAAATGTTTTGCTATTTTTTTCTTACCACTGCAAGAGCGGTTGATTGAACTTGTCGTTTTTCTTCGGCTTCCTCACTGTTTTCATCAGCGATTACATCACTTGATTCGATCAGAATCGTTATTTGGTCTGAGAAACAACGATGAAAAAAGCTAAATTAATGCAAGTATAAACAAAGCAAAGAGAGAAACAACCATATAAAAATTATGAATTATTGTTATTATTATCATCATCAAAAATAACTAAAGGTGAGAAACTATAAGAAATATTATTATGGATCAGAATTTAGAAATCTGTAATCGAAAAACGATATTCAAACAAAAAATTTGTTATTCACACTAGCTAGAAAAGATTTATAATCAGCGGACATTTAGCCAATGAAACGTTTAAAATCCATCCAATGAAAATAAACTTCTTGAATCATGTAGCTCTGATAAAAATCGTATTTGTGGAGAAAAACTGTAAGAAGGGACGAGTCTTATTTTTGCAAGGGAAGTAAACAGCTTTTATCAATATGATATATTATTAAAAGAGCTATTTACATGCTGCAACAGTGATGTCAATAGATGCTGTGTCAGCTATGATTGAAACCTGTGCTGTGACCTCAGAGGGCGGGATTGCACGCTTGCTGACGTTGATTGTGAACTCAAGACGTACACTGTCCCCGTTTTTGTCCATCACCTTGACATATGCAGTCAGTATTCCTAAATTTAATAAAATCAATTAAAACTAAAGAAGTAATAATAATTTACAGCTAAATTGTTCCCAAACATTCCTCGCACGTATCTTTTAGAATCTATTCAATAAAATATGTTTATCTACAAGGCACACCCTTTACATCCCAGAATTCCTTTCTTTATGGTGGTCCTAGCTTTCTTCCTTTCCTACAATAGGTGTGAATTTTTTTTTAAAAAATGAGTCAAATCGTTGTGTTTGAAAATATTTCAGCAGCATGTCCCTCAAAAAAGGGCTTCAATAAGAAATGGGCGATAGGCTTGCTTTTCAAAGGTAATGTTTGTACCTTTCCCAATTTTTAAGAATACTAAAGCAATATTTGCAAGCTGAGAAAGATGGACACTCTCTCTCTACCAGTGAAAAAAATAACGAAACAACTCGGAGACAGCGTTCAGCTATTTTGATACCAATCAAATTGAGCGAACTAGGGGCACGGAAGGCGTAGGGTGCACATTTGCCAATTTCTTAAAATCTTGCAGGCTCCCCAGAGAGTTTCTCGTACATATTAGTAGCATGGTCATTTGATTATTCTGAAAAAATGATGCAATGCGATAATGGCTGCAGGTGGGCAAAAAGTAAAATATGTTTGCCTAAAATGTGGATTTTTATCACATGTCACAATGAGAGTCCTGGAGTACTCAACAGCGACCTTTGTTTCTTACAAAAAAATGAGGGCATCCAGAGCTGATTTTAAGATGTAATTGGCGTTATTAATCTTGTATCCATTTTTGAAAAAATCGAGCTATTCCAGGAGATTTGGGGCCCCACAAACACTAGGGGCCCTTGGCACTGTGCCCAGTGTGCCCCCTGGTTAATACAGCACTGATACAACTATATTCCTCGTTAGACGTTTCTATCAAAAGCTTATTCTGGTTGTTTTCCATGTTCACAAAACACATTAGAATAAACAAACAGTTTTTGGCAATGCCAATTTTTTGCGTTGGTGCCTTTTGGAAACTAACCTTTGAGCGTTAGATAGAGACAAAAAAGACTTGTTAGTTTCTCAAAGCTAAACATGAAAATACTCACCTGACCTGGACCTAACATCTGATAACTGACTATCTTCTCCAGCATCATTTATTGCATTTTCCTTACCACTTTCGTCAAGGAAACCAAAAATGTATTTCAAAGGCTTGTCCGGAGCATCATCATTGCAGTATGAAGCTTCAAATGTGAACAGTGTTTGAAAAGCAATACCACTGCTAGGGCTGACTGCAAAAACACCTTTGTGATGAAGAAAAGGGCAGGTTTAATCATATGATAAAGAGTTAAAATCTAATACAGTGGCCGTAGCATTATTAACAAAGGAAGTTGGACTGCATCGGATTTACACATTTGCTAAGAATGGATTGAAGACTCTATTAGAATAGCAACGCATAACTTACAAGACGAAGGCGGTGAACTGGTTGTGATGTTCTGGACCGCTGAGCCGCATACCGTTGAATCTCCTACCTTGCCACAAGCGGTAAGGATGAAGGAAAGCGTTGCTCCTGGCGGCAGCTTGAATGCTGCGATGGCGAGTGTAGCATCAATTGTGGCCCCTATTTTTAATTTTTTGGTCGCTTTGGTTTCGCTTTTCTTAACTTTCGACGCCTCTAAATCAAACCCAGCACACTCTGAAATGTAGAGATTTCAAAAGATTATTTTATTTGAAAAATTTCTGCTTTGGGAAGCCTTTCACACTAAGAAGGTCAATTTTGGTCCAGTTATAACAAGTGAAAAATATATTAGCAAGGATATCGTGAATCGTGAAAAAAATATTGAATTCTGAGCAGGTTTTGCATCAACAATTTATTGCATTTATTAAAATATAGAAAACAAGCAGTTTTGAAATATAGAAAAGGTTTTGAAAAAGCAGCAATAAGTCAAAAACAAGAAACAAAAAGATAATTATGGAGAGGCAAAAAGATAAAAGTGAAAACAATTATGGAAAAAGAAAACAAAGGAGTGAAAATTATAACAACCTTGACAGTGCCAGTAGTAGTTGATATCTCCCGAAAAATCTATGGCAACGATTTTCGCCTCGATAGAAAACAACACAGAAGTAGGGACCTTCTTTGTACTGCTCGTTTCGAGGTAAACCAAGGGTCGACTTTTTTTCTCAGTTTTCAATCTTTTGCTCGATATTGCAACCCGTAGACCTTTCTTGTATGTAAGCACCACAGTATAGCTGAAAAAGGGAAGATAGCTCGCTTGAATCAAGCCAGTTTGTAACTGGGCAACGTAAATGAAACAAAATTTTGAAAACTCTAAGCTAGGCAATATAGGCCAATTGTGAATCTTTTCCGGTATGTTAATATTACAGTATGAAAAAGGGGAAATTTATCACTTGGATAAAACATGCTAGAAACAATTTATGTAATAGTCCCCCCCACTTTTTCAGAAAGTTGGTCCTTAAGATTCTTGCAAACCCGATGAGAAAACCTCAGGGGGGGGGGGGTATGTTCGTTATCTAGATCGTCACATGTAAAGGACATTTCTTGGGAGACAACAGATGTTTCCTCCGGAAGAAAAAGTTTCAAACAGGGGAATGGACCTGGTCCAAAGGACGTGGTCCCTGACAAACTTTTTGTCCCCCCACTTATCCCAGGCTGGAGCCGCCACTGTAAATTATGGATTTGTAACCTTTGTATTGTCTAATTAAATCGGAATTTTACAATGTAACAATGAATTCTCCAATGGATTCAAGCTAAAGAACTACTATGTCATTTTTGTCGTGTACTGGTTTTAAGTTCCATTATCAAGCTGTGCTTCCCAAAGTCTGAATCTATCAACCAGGATATTTTCTAAGTGTTTGGTACGTATATTTTGACGGGACCAGGCATGACCGCATCTGAAATTAAGTTGTTAAGTATAACCGTAGTATGTTATCAATATGATAGTAATTGATTATAAACATTGTTATGAGTATAATTTTGCCTTTTCTTCATTTGTCAATTGGTTCAATTTTAATCCGTTTTGGAAGCTAGATTTTAACGAATTTGCTAATTATTCGCCTCAAAGTAATATCTAGTATAACGTTCGTAATAAAGATTTCGTAGATAGCTAAAAATCAACTCACTTTTTATCGCCTTCAAGGAAGGTGTTAATCTGAACCTTGTGACGTATACACCCAGTATATATCACTGGCTTAAATGTGCCATCTACTTTACGGTAAACTGATGCTGTGCCAATTTTGAATTCTATCTGACAGTGTTGGGTTTCTGCCGTTTGATCAGGGTCAGATGATTTAGAAAGATCGAACACCACAATGTCGTTGATGCCAACGGAAGAGGGCACTATATATGAAAAGGCAAAGAATGTTAGGTGAATTTTCATGCAGTATTTGTTAGGGAGACGAGCAAGAGAAATTTTCAAATTAGTCAAGCGACATTCCGTCCTGTATTATTACGGAAGTATCATTACGTAGAATCTTTCAATATAGGACGAAAGGTTGCCCCATTCATTTGAAGATTTTCGCTCGCTTGTCTCCCCGACAAGTACAACCAAATCAATTAGCTTATCAGTTCATTTGATATCATCACAGGTTCTAATTAGGTCATCACCAGCTTGCTCAATGCAAAATGAATCTGCTAAAATGGGTCGATCAAATTCAATCGATAATAAGAAAAAGACATGAACAGCAAAATCAACAATATTTACAACATCAACAATTAACAACAACAACAACAATTATTAGCATTACATTAAATGTAGGCCAAAGTTTTAGATAAAGTGACAATTTACTTATAAGACGCGGTACAAGGGGTGATGCAACAGTAAGAATAGTTATTGTTGCAGTCGCTGTGGAGTCGGGGTCCGTGGCCAAGGCGGCAGTAACAGTGAATTGATATCTCTGCAAAGGAATTAAACAAGAATAAGTTATGTGGACTTAATCAACTCTGTAAATTATTTGTCAAATTCACTGTCGAAAACGGTTTTAAAAATATACCAGATATAGACAATTTGCTATCGGCTGGTGTTGGGAAAAGATTGAGAGAAATTCTAATACGCGAGCATGTTACATCAAATTGTCAAACGTAGTAGGTGTATCGGCAGTCGTAATTTTTGTTTAAGATTGAATTGATTCTTAGTTATGAGGAGATTACTTTTAAAAGAACTTCTCCTAAAACAAGCATATTTAAGACAAGTTCTTTGAGTGTGGGTGCTAGGAGTAGTAGTATCTTGGCTCCTGTGATGCAGGGGCGTCACCAAAGGGGGCTAAGGGAGCGCTTTGTCTGTCGGCTCAAAAAGCATTCTCGCCCTGTATTATGGATGGAATTATGGGTCTTCGCACAGTTATTGGGACGTCTTGGCCTTGTCTGGAGCTGTCCTGTGTCGTTAGAAGGGGAGGGGGGAGGGGAGTTGCCTCTAAACGTATTCTTGTTCTCTGTCGTAAGCTATATCATTTTTATTAACATTATTCTTAGTGCACGATGAAGGGCACAGTTGCAGTGGTACAACCTTCCCCTATATTGATTGCTCATTTGTCATATTGTGGGTCAGTTGTTGAATCTGTAATCTTAGATTTATTTAGATATATTTGTATTTGAATGAAGAAACTTGGAACTTGGTTTGTAAAGTGTCAGGCATACAATACAGTAAGGGCAATGTATAATTTCAGTGGTAGACTAGTTTCTGTGGTAGTGTGGTAGATCAGTTTCTAGAGACGTATTATCCATTCAAGACAATCATAAGCGCTGAAGAATTACTTCAGTACCATTGGTATGTTGGAAATTATTGAATTAAATTGCAGTAGCCTGAAATTTCAGTCAAATTATGATATGGTACTTCAAAGAAATCCAGATAAACCGTCCAAAAATACAATGCCTATTAAAGTGCTCTTGAAGAATAAAACATTTATCTTGAAGCATTTCATGAGCAAGGATTCTTACCAAACCAGGTTTCATGGTCCTAGGTGGAAGATAAAGGTTCCTTGCGTTAGGAAGACTAATCGTTGATCCATTGATACTGTACCAATTGTACAAGATTTTGCTTTCTACGCCACAGCTGGCATCAATCGTCGCTTGCGCTAAAAAGAAAAAAATGCTCTTTCATTTTCATATCATTGAAGGAAGGTTGCCCTTCAGAAAAAACTGGGTTCTAAGAGGTCCTCCATTTAATTCATTATCTGTTTTAAAAAAAAACATTTGTGTGTAATCATTCAATAACAAAAAAGGATAACAACAGTCATTCATTCATTCTATCATTTAGACCCTGTTTACACGTGTCCTGGACCAGATCAGATCAAAAAATATCCAGATACTTGGGGATACGATCCCATGCGTTTACACGGGATCCGATTCCAAACCATTTGCGTTGACACGGGATCCGATTCCAAACCATTTGCGTTGACACGGGATCTCGTATATCCGTAAACTGTTGGATCCGCTATCCGGGATCGGATCGAGTTGAGATCTACAGATTATTCGCATGTGCACCACGGAATACATGTTAAAAATACCTCAAATTGACAACTATTATCTCACACTTTCGAATAAAAATGTAAACAGATCCGACCTGGTCGATCTGGACCAGATCTCGCAATTTGCATGGGATCCGGTCTAGATCGGATCCATTCAAAACGGGCCGCATCGGATCGGAGAGGGATCCCGAAAGGGTTCGGATAGCGGATCCAACAGTTTACGGAAATACGAGATCCCGTGTAAACGCAAGGCCTGGGATCCACCTTCGTGTAAACGGGGTCTTAACGGTAGCATTGAATGGCGGAAACACGTCGTTTTACATTCATCAGAGAAAGTCGGATGTTGACTAAAGGTAAGATGATCGAAAGTAACGTATTTTCATTTAGGTGTTTTTTTAAATCTGTCTACATAAAAAAATATCTTGACCGGTGAAAGAGGAAACAGTTTCTCTTCTCTCTTGGATTTTCCAACTAGATGATTGCTGAATAATGGTTGCTGATTGGTCAAAGCAAGAACCAATCAATAGCACCATTCTTCCGCTCACGTTACTTTCAACCTGCCTTTGGATATGAAGTTCTGCATACATTTGGTCACTATCCGACATTAATACACCCATTCTACCATATATGAAATAATGCCCATAATCTGCTTTCACTTTTGCCCATTAAAAATGCTTTACTATATAATTGTTGCTACTTTCAGTAACTGCCATGCTTCAAATGTGTGCTGTGTATCATGTGAGTTGTGTTGTTCTAGAAATCAAACATCTGCTAATTTATTACCTTACTGCTCAACAGATCCAAATAGCTACACTAAAGGTCGAGCAAGAAAGCAAAATATTGTTTCGTACCTCCAATTAGCAGAACTTCGGAAATAATGTTTGTCCTTTTTGTCTTTCCCACATGTAATGATGGCTTGATTCTGCTTGCCCTTGTGACAATTTTCGAATCATGACCTTGCATTCCTAAGAAGTTTTTGACTGTCAGTTTGAAGGTGATTGGGATATTCACCAGTCCGGCTTTTTTTGGGAGTGTAACCACCCGGGCAGTAGTTGGCAAGGCGCTGAGCAAGTTACGGTAATCGACGAGGTCTGGATGCGACGAATTAACATCGTTGTTGACGCTAAGGCTCCAATAAAACTCCAATGGACGACCTCCACCTCCCGAAGACTGTCGTCCTACCAGCTTGATTCCAGCACAATTAGCTGTGGAACAGATTGTGTATCAGATAGATTATGCTAACTGATGCTATGTTGATGATGCAATAAAGAGTCATTTAGAGCAAAGCTAGGCTTAAAACTTTAAAGATGAAATATGGAGGAGAGCTAGACATTAGACTGATTTTGAACTTTTTGTTTTTATATTTTCGAAAGCTTTTATTTCAAGAACCATAATATCTGAGTAATAGTTATTATAATATAATATTTTTATAAAAAGATTAATATTTATAATAGGTTTTTTATTATCATTAGTTTTGATTATATTGATTCCTAAAACTCCACTTAAAATTCCCAAAAGGATTAAGAGTGTTAGAAGGTGCTTTTGCAATGTACCTGAACTACATGCAAAAATGCTTTGAAGACTATAGAATGCTATTTTCATTGCAGACTGGTTTGTTAAAAAACTTACCAACTTCTGATGATGTTGTGAGCACTGCCTCTGGATAAACCACATTGACTGGGCTGGCAATAAATACAGATTGAGTAGCAACAGTGTATTTTGTCACATCACCATGGAAATCTTTGATGCTTGCACTTTTGAAGATTAACGTATCATTAGGTTTGATTGTTGCTTGTTTTCCCAACTTGATTGTAAATCTTCTAAGGCCACTGAACTTGCATATTGCTCCAGTGCCGAGCGTTGATATGTCAGAAAAGAAGCTGGAGCATGTGCTGGAAATGTCTACAGGCTTTGATGCCCTGTCTAGAATTATATCAATGAAGCCAAGGTTATCTTGAAATTTAGCACTAGTAATGTTAGCAGCGTAAGAAAATAGACTAACATTAACGTGTTTGGCCTTGTTGAATACTCTATCCACTGGTGACCAAGACAGTGTGAGAGACAAGTTAATTGATCTTCTTATTGCGGGGATATGGCATTTGACAGTAGTTGAACTGACAAAGGTTGCGTTGAGGTGCCGACCGTCCTGTGTTATACACTTCAAGTAGCTTGAGTTGAAAAATCCACTCCCTGTTATTGTGAGATCGAATGGAAAGCCAACTTCGTGTTCCACAGGCGTTCTTTCGGCGTAGGTTATTCCAGATTTGGAATAAATGTAAATGCTGTTCTTAGAGTCGTCTGTGAATTGTGGTACTGGATCTTGTGCAGGGAAAGTACATCTGACTTTATAATCACCCACAGCGACAGAAGATGGCAGTTTGAGTGATACTCCAATGACTTTCGTGTTGAACTTTTCAAGCTTTGGTTCAGCAGCATCAATACTGCAAAAGTAGGAAAAATTTAACTTTTGCAAATTACTTTTTTACAGATGCGGTACCCCTCAACATACCTTAACAATGTTTATCTACTCACTATCCGCCCTTATTCAAAACATGTTAACACGTGTAATAGTCTAAAACGGGTAAATATAACAACTTTTTCTAGCTCCAAAAAAGGAGTCTACTTATTTCAGGTTGACGTTCGAGTCATATTTTAGATAAAAAATATTTATCTTGCAATGGAAGGGCAGAAGACACTGATATGGGTAGTAGCAAACAGAGTCCAGAAAGCATGACGGCTCCACGGCTGTGAGCCGGAGGAATGTTATGATCCAGTGATTAGTAGATTTTAGGAAGGCCATGTATAACTTTACGAAAGTATATAAAGTGAGAAGAATTTACTGTTTTGCTTGAACCTTTCTTTTTCCTGACGAAAGGGTAAAGAACAAACCATAGATGATTTTACTTGAATTCCATTTCTAAAAAACCTTTTCTTAAAGCATACAAGGAAAATTTTGAGGAAGGTAAATAATGCGAAAAATCATCCTAAAGAAAGTTTTCTGAACTCTGTAACAGAAACAATGTATTGGTTTCCTGCATTCCAAATTCCTGCGAATTTATCCAAAAACAACTTTTCCGAAGTTTTGCAGTGATGAGGGTATGGGGTATGTAACTCTATCCAGTCCCAAAGTCAGGATCTGATAAAAAGGAAGCAGTGCTAAAGAACTTACTTTTGAGAGGAAGATACAAGCTTGCAAGTGACACTTATAAATACGTCGATTCCAGCACCGTTGCAGCCAATTGCATATTGAGCATCATTCGGCAAAACAGTCACATTGCATCGGCCAAGTCTCCTACATTCAGTGTTGAAAATAGCGTCAGTGGGCAAACGGCATAGGTTACAAAGGTCACGTTTTTTTCCGCCATTCGGTACTCCAGCACAGTCAGCGCAAGAGCTGCTATCGTTTTTGCAAGTGCCGCACGGGTCAATGCCTGGGGAAAGATTTCTAAGCTTTGTTTAAATTGTAAATTGCAAAGAATAAATATGAAGAGAAAAGGCGCCATAGGCATGTGAAGAGAAAACATTACATACTTCTAGGAAATAATGGGCATTAGTTCTACTTAACTTTACCTATAATGCCTGCCAAAGTCTTGGTGCACTAACGTCAGCTTTCAAGAGCAAATTCTAGCCATCCCCCCCCCCTTTGAACAATGTTGGTTGCTGATTGCTGAATACTACAAACAACGTAGGAGATAGGCGATCAGGAAGAACACTTTTTCCTCTGACCATTATGACATTTTTCAAAATAATCAACATTGTCTTGGAGGAAAGGAGTGTGGAAGTAGGACAATCGGGAAAACAACAGAAAAATACAAAAACACAACGCATATTGCTTGGTGTTCCAAGTACTTTTGGAAGTGATTATCCGTGTTCTAATAGAGAGAACAAACAAAAACAAGTCTAATTTTCAACATACCGTGATTCAGAGGCAAGCCAGTAGTCCCCCCAACACAATGTCCGCATTTATTGATAGCAGCAGTTCCATTACACGACCCAGTACAGTCAGTGAAGTTCTTGGGATTAGCTTTGTTGATGCAGTTGCCACACGAATCTGTGTAGAACTCGCCACATTGTCCTGCGCAGTCCTGCATGTAATTTTTGGCTAAACCCGTAGATCCATTTGTACACTTGTTGCAATCATCTGTAATCATGTGATATGCAGCTTTTTAATATAATCAGGCAATAATAATGGCATAACAATAGCACGAGCAGCAGAGCTGGCGTTACTATGTATCTGTGTGTGTGTGTGTGTGTGTGTGTGTGTGTGTGTGTATGTGTGTGTGTATGTGTGTGTGTGTGTGTGTGTGTGTGTGTGTGTATGTGTGTGGGGGGGCGGGGGGAGGAGTAGTTTGTGACACCCCTCTAGGAAAAAGAATTAATTGTAAAAACGAGGAGTTTTACCATCTAGGGGTGCTTCTCTGGCAATTTTTCAGATTCTTCGGCAAATAAAGGAAGTGTAAAAAGGAAGGGAAGAAAGAAGAAGGAGATAGAGAAAAGGGAAGAGAAAGAAGATGAAAAGAAACAAGAAAACAGAAAGAAAGAAAATGGAAAGAAAGAAAGAAAGAAAGAAAGAAAGAAAGAAAGAAAGAAAGAAAGAAAGAAAGAAAGAAAGAAAGAAAGAAAGAAAGAAAGAAAGAAAGAAAGAAAGAAAGAAAGAAAGAAAGAAAGAGAGAAAGAAAGAAAGAAAGAAAGAAAGAAAGAAAGAAAGAAAGAAAGAAAGAAAGAAAGAAAGAAAGAAAGAAAGAAAGAAAGAAAGAAAGAAAGGAAGAAAGGAAGAAAGAAAGAAAAAAGAAAGAAAGAAAGAAAGAAAGAAAGAAAGAAAGAAAGAAAGAAAGAAAGAAAGAAAGAAAGAAAGAAAGAAAGAAAGAAAGAAAGAAAGAAAGAAAGAAAGAAAGAAAGAAAGCTTTCAAGACGTGATCGCATGTGTCAGTTACAATATCGCATGGCACATTCTTGACCCGGATTACTCTGTGGTTAACGCACCTTGCAAGTGCGATCATTAAAATCCTTTTTTTCTCTGGACTCTCAATTCTTCTACATACAAGTACGAAAAAGTTATTTTTTACCAAGGAACAAATCGAATGTCTCAAAAATTTGCGCACGGCCAAGACAGACGTCTTTTAGAGCCAAATACAACTGCGGGAGTGTAGAAAAATTGATTACCAACTTTGACAGGTTATAGTTTCAAGGAGAGGAGGCATTCGCAAAATCGGAGAGACACCTTGGTAGCTAAGGATCTGCGCTTTCTGTTGATAAATATGTCAGATTTTGCTGCCTCAAACGCAAGGGTACAAAATAGCTTTTGAAGGTAGTATACTCATTTAAGCAATAAATTTGGGCATTTAAGCATTTAAGCCTGGAAAGGGACATTTTACGATATTGCCAATTATTTTTATATGGTTAGAATCACCACATTCTTGGACATTGAATGATATATAGTTTAATTCGATTCCTTTGATAGTTTGGCTCTTAGGGAGAGAAAACCAAACATTATGTCAAAAACGTTTACCGTAATCTTAAAGGACAAGAAAGAAAACGTATAGAACGAAGTTAGGTACAATTTCGATTCACTGTTAATCGATTCACTGTAAAAATTTCTGGCCTCAATAAATTACTTTCAAAACTCTGTCTCTTTTGGTTGATCTGTGAAGAACTGGAATTTTGGAAGAGTGACAATGTCAACATTTTTAATCACAAATTGTAAACCCGCAATATCTAGAGGACAGCTGTCAATCACAAGTGGAACAAGCGCAAGGAAATGCAGCTAAGGAAGGGGGAAACGAATGTAGCAGAAACGAAAGGCCAATATTAACGATTCTCGGTCTCCTTAAATTGTAAATCCAAAACATGCAAGTATGTTACTAGCATCGTATAATTCTAAAACAATCCAAACTTTCATTTGTCGATTAGCTTGCTTACGGAAACAGAATGGATACAAACATGTGCATAAACAAAGGAAACTTAATTGTGGAAGAACATATTGATATAAATTTGATCATTTGATTAAGGTAGACAAGGCCTTTGGGAAAATTGGATACAGAGAATTATGATTAATAAACCAGAAGGCCGCTTTCTTAAAAAACTAAGAGTAAATAATCCAGCAAATATTTTGGCTTTCTGAATGTCTTCTAACACTCGAAAGCATTCGAATAAATAAAAGACTGTTAAAATGGGGAAAATTTGGCTGTTATCAGCTCTTTGGAAACAAATTATAAAAACTGGCAAAACAATAGAAGGACAAATTTGAGTTTTTAGTCGCTTCGTGTTGTGCACAAAACAGAAAACAGAAATATCCAAGCAGTTATATAACAAAAATATTTACCAATAACAGCATGGCAGTCATTGCATCGCTTGTAAATATCATTCTCCACTGAGGAGCATTCTCCACAGCTGTTCAATTTCATCTTTGAGCCTGGCTGTTTGTCACAACCACTTATCTTCATTTGAGTAAGCACAAAGGACATGCAACATGTAAATCTCTTATAATCGGAACAATATCCTGCAGCACTTTGACCAATTCTGACTGTCCGCATTCCGCTCTCCTTGGTATCTGACATATCCCAGCCAACTGCCCGCAGAGAGGCATTTTTCCTTGCTTCTAGCTCTGTCCACGTCGATCCAGAAATGTTGGCAGGGTTGAAGCGAATCCTTGTTGTTTCATTGAGAAATAATGCAGGCACATCATTGTTTGCTTTGACTACTGGAAAGGTTTTAAGTTCAATCTTATGCCAGGGTCCATTCGGATAATTTTGGTATTCGTAATATCCTATATTTGAACTGCTAGGAGCAAATACGACTGCCATGCCTAAAAAGTAGGGCAAGAAGATAGGTTAGAAGCAGCAGCCTTCATCTAGGAAAAAACTCACTGTATACATTAAATGTTCGCATAACACGATTCGGGGCGTAGCTTAGTAGCAGGCGCGCAACCAGAAATTTCAGAGGGCAGGGGTCCAAGACACAAAAAGGGCACTAATTAAACTTCATTAAAGGTCCACCGGGGCATTTGTTTAGGTACACCGAAAATATGAGCAATTAGTAAATCTGTAAATATTGTACGCCAGACAAGGGAAACTGATCAATAGAGAAAAGTTGTGGTGTACGGTTTATTTTGTGGTGAGGTGTGATGAAGTTTAGGAGGCCCGAAGGAGGGGGGAAATGGAAAAAACAATGCCTCTTGCGAGCGAAGCGAGCAAAAATTTTGCCACCATACCCTTGCAAATAGCTTAAATTCACTAATTCGTTTAAATTCACTAAGATGTTTTACTTTTTAATTGTAATTTTGTTACTTTTAATAAATTCCATTTAAAAACGGAATTCATTGCTTTGTGAGGCTCCCTAGACCTCGAGGCCCTAGGGCAATTTGCCCCTTTGTCCCCCTCTCGGCGACCCTGCTGTCATCTCCTTTTCCCAGCGCCAGCTCACTTTTGAATAGCAGCCCATCATCTTCCATATCCGAAGACATTTTGCGCTTTAAAATATTATTATTGAATTCTTTGCTTCGCACTACAGATTGGAGGAGGTTGAACAGTTCCACGAGCCTTGCCTTCAGCTTGTTTCTGTCTCCAAGTCTTGCCTTGAGCTGATTTGTAATACTGACAAGGAACGGAACAGCTGAACATCAACTTTTTGTGTCATATTTACTGCTTGCTAATACCAGTCCGAAAATATTTCCCTGCATTCGCTCGTTTCATGCAAAGGTCTTCTATGACCCTGTCAACTATGTGACAGGCTTGAAAAATGTCTTGGTTTTTATTCTTGTAACTTTTTACCAGAGGTCGTAGAGGCTCTATCCCGTTCAAAATCCTGTGCCTTTATTTTGGTTTTTGAGTCCCAGAACCATTCTTCTTCAAAGCCAGTGCGTAGCGCATCATAAAACACGCTGTAGAGTTGGGGCTTGAAGATATACTCTATTACTGCAACATGATGACGTTCGACCCAACAAGTGCGCGAAAGTTCGACTAAATCATTTATCTGTATTCCTGCGAGGTCCATTACATCTCCGTAGTGTGTCATTTACTGTATGACCAACCATTTTAGCGTAATAGTTAAAATATTCAAGCAATTTTCCAGGAAAAAGGGCACTTTTACCCTTTTGAGAAAAAGGGCAGGGGTCTGGACCCCCAGGACCCCCCCCGTAGTTGCGCCCCTGAGTAGAAAAGTTGAAGGCTTGCAAGGCATTTGATTGCAAGCCAAGTAATGTTGAATGGAATGGAAATCTAGTAATGTCGGTCTTGCTGATAACCTTTTAGTTTATCAGCAAGTGCTATAACTATTAACGTACACCTACACCAATATTTCTCGTCATTTCAACTTGATTAAAAAGTAATAGAGTACCAAAGTGTGACGTTATCAAAAATCTTTTTTTAGATTTTTTAATTTTGACCACATAATCTGAAAGAACAGCAGAAAATATCTATAAATAGGCAAAATCAGGCAGATATGCTCACAATTTGGCGATATATGGCCAATGAAAGATTTCAAGTTTGCCAACGGATTACTGTTATTCTGACCTGTGTGTGGCTATATTCCAGCTCATTTGTGACACATTCAGCTAACTGTTCACATTTACAGGTTTTGGGATATAAAGTCAAATTTGAAAAATTCTAGAAATATATTCGTGTGACGTCATCATTTCGGTACTCTATAAAGGTATACCTCTTGTGACTTTGACGTTAACTTTTCTCTATATTGTCAACTTTTATTGTAAAAGAGCTGTGAATACCACAGGCATTTTACATCTAATGACGCATTCCAAACTTCTTTCACTAACATTGAGATGAGCTTTATAATGAGTCAAAATAGGAAAATACGTGCTAAAAGTAGATTTTGAATTTAGAGGGAAAATGCAGATGCTACTTCTTTCAAATGGAAAACGATCGCGAAAACTACTCACCAAGTTTTCCAGACTCAAAACCAGAAAGACTAGTTATTAAAGTTCCCTCTGCGATCATGCTGGATCCATATGGGATATGAGGCATTCGAATGGATTCCGGAGGGCACTTCCTCAAGTCGATGATCACCTGTGTTTCATTCGATGTGTACACAGTACGTGTTGGACAGTTATAGCCAGTTCTCATTGATATCTTAGTCAATGTCTGATCAGTAGAAAAGGCAATTATTCCGGTCGAGTCAGTCTTGAGGTCTAAATGAACAAATTAATAAAATAATAAGCGAAGAAAATGTGTTTGTTGTAACCCCAATCATTAAAAAAGTGGGCATAGTATTATTGGTGTCCTAGACATATATCAGCTAGCAAAACATTTCATAAAAAGAATTGCCCTAAATGCTCTATTGAACGCCCTTTTCTTTTAAGTCCCCCTCTTTATAATATCCCCTTATCAAGCAAAATTTTAAAATAAGCCCCCTTCTCTTTTAACTCCCCTTCGTTAGCCCCCGATATCAAACCAAGGGAACATGCACATTTAGTGGGTCTCTTGACGGGTGTGATGACGATAAGATCGTGTGCAATAAATACGGTACATGTAAAGATGTACATGTGCGCCTTAGAGGTCAGTCGAAATTTGTTTAGAAGATATGCCAGGCAGTGACCGCGCACCAGTTTAAAAGTGGAGGGGCTGAAAAGGGTGTGCCCAAAAGATTTTCCGGGCCATGTTCTCTAGAACGCCGGAGAACGGCCCTTAGATAATACTTGCTTATTTCTACTAAATTTTTATAAACATTCTGGTGCAGAGAATATATCAATAACTATAAAAATAGATAAAATTAGCTTTAGGGAAATAGAACACCAAGCTAACAAAGTTAGAAAATGCATCATAGCATCGAAGATGATAAAACATCTAGAAAATGAACAAAAAAGGTTTGCTCCTATGCGCAATGATCTCCTTGGGCCAGCTTTCATACCTCCTCCCAAAACTGAATTTAAACAGCATCGATTCAAAAGCCTTACTTAATTTGCCTCTTTACGGTAGCCCAAAATTCAATTAAACTGACAATCGAATGATTCTAGAGGCATCCATAGCATATTTTAAAGCAACTAACAGACCTAACTGAAGTAGAAACTTGACGATTAGTGACCTTTTATCTTTTTTGGGTTTTGGTCTAAATAAGCTCTTTGTGAAACATGGCATCAGCATCAATAACCCAGTGCATAGCTCCTTTATAAACTCGCTCACTTTGACCTATTTTGCTTTCTAATACCTGTAATCAACCCATAACCACGAAATCGCCTGCCCTAAAATGGCGTATGCAAGCTCCTGCCAAATTGAATGGTACCTTTTATTGCAAAAAAGTGTACAATTGAATGGTACCTTTTTTAGCCTATTATTGCAAAAAAGTGAGGGAACTATAGCCTCTGCTAGCCCAATGGCTGCGCGGAGCCTGATCCCAGGGGTTTTCAATTCATTTTGGTGACTCTGGGGAAGATGGTAAATTATCATTATTGATTTTGATGACTGCTTATTACCCACATGCTAGCTAAGTAAATATTTCGATGAAATTCGAGTATCGACTCGAGAACACGTATTTTGTTTAAGCACTTCCATAAAGTATGAAAATATAATAAGAATTTGTATAATACTTGTATTCTCATAACAAAATATGCATAAGGGCATTTTTATAACATTTTTTACATTAAATTACACTGAAACTTTCCTTTCTAAAAAGCCACCTCTTTTTTAAGCATCCTCTGGGACTAATGGAGCATATACTCTGGGGGGGGGGGGGAGCTTAATGGAGCATATATAGTTATTCCATTTTCAAGTATCTAGGCATTATAAAACGTGCCAATTTTAAATGCGGTAAAAGTGAGCTTTCTGGAGTTTATCATAAAGCTAGAATGACTATATGCTTCAAGTGTTTCTATATACATTCGAGCTTCTCTTGAAAGACAAAGGTCTGGCCTTAGGGCATTCTCACTTCAAACCCTGTCACAAATTATGCGACACGTAAAAGCGCAGAAAAATACGTACTAGAGCCTTGAATATTCAGCTCCACAAATGGGCTACATCTACTGATGTTGGCAACGAGAGCTATGTAGTTTCCGATACAGAGCGAGTTATCCCTCAGGTGATCAATGAGATTCAATTTAACTTGCAGGTTAGGCTTATCCACTCTAACAATGGCACTAATCTGAAAAAGTATATAAAGAATTATTTATATCAGAAATGTCTAAAAAAATAAAGGACACTACTTGAAAATGAATTTTTCAAAAATCGAAAACTTCTGCCTAAACCGTAATTTTCCATTGACGAGTAGTGAGAAAATAACACCAGCAGTTTGTATTGAAAAGTGAGATAATTGACAACAAGCTTTTACGAAGCCTCTTAGAAGGAGGAGGGACAAAAACTGAGAATCGCGATTAGAAAACACCATTTTCCAATCGGACAAGTATGAAAAGGAGACTAGAAGCTAACAATTTCTCCGCTCACTTCCAACGTCAAAACGTTTCCACAGGGGGACAAGAGGGTTCAGGGACGCGGACGGCGGAGAAGTGGGTGCGGGGGGTCAACCACCACTGTTGCCTTTTGATAGGAGGCGCAAGAGGGGCCAGAGTGCCCTTTTTGTAAAAGTACCCTGGGAACTGCCCAATTTTAATAATCAGGAAGACTCACATGAAATTATCTTATTTTATTAAATTATTTTATTAAGTTATTATTCACATGGAAAGAATTATCTTTCAAATGTCCTTTTACTCAAGCTTGCCCCCCCTCCTTGCCCTTTTGTCCTTCCGGCGTCCCTAAGAGTGTTTGTAGATGCACTTGCTGCTTTTTTTGTCCTGCATGCATGCCATAACGCACATAAATTCATCAACTTACCGGGAATCGGACATCATATGCCTTATTGTATTGGAGAGTCTTTATCAACGTACTAGAGAACTTTGCCAATGGTAAATGCGGCATAAGCAAGATCACTAAATGGTAAATGCGATATCCAGTGGTCACGTTGATACGAGACCCTGACGCAAAGCTTGATGGCACCTCTGCCACCACAACAGGAATTTCGCCATGATATGTAATTCGTGGGTGAACACTAAAATAAAAGATAGAAAGGCCAGGAGTAAGCTTAGTTTAATGCAACATATTTACATATATTCCAAGAGCCGGCAATGGAAATAAGATACATGCATGGGATTATATCAAGGAAGCATGGGAAAGAAAGAGCAGCAAAATTATACAAACAGAAAGCAAATAGTGTTGGAGAAGAGCGAGCCCCACAATCCTTGCCAAACCTCGCCAAATAAACAATGTTGACTAGCAAATGTTTTTAATCATTTGATCACAGGAAAATTTTTGCACATCAAAAAACATGTTTACAAAGCATCTACTTGCGTTGGGTGAGAAATACTCAAAATTACGTTGGATGAGAGGGCTGTATGCAAAGTCTAGGGACGTTCAAGGGCTTTGGCTAGGATTGAAGAAGCTCCTATGAGATATCTGGACACATGAGATGTGACAAATGCCTGAGGCAGGAAATTGCTGTATGCAAAGAAAAACGACGAAGGAAGAATAATAGGCATTGTTAAACCAAAGGAAAGAGGAGGTAAGAAGAAAGAAAACAAAAAGAAAATGAAATGTGAAAAACAGTTTTCCAGTAAGAACGTCTCATTCATTGCAGTTGTTATTTTGGAAAGCTGAAGATAGTGTAGAAAAAGTAACGATCGATGCAAGACTACAGGTAAGGTGGAGAGTGTCTTATTGTGATAGCGAATGTCTTTTTTCCAGGTTCAGGAGATCAAAGAACCCTGCTTGCTTAACTTTTATTAGGAAAACTTCACATCCACTTATAAGTTTGAATTGCATACGGTAGCCAGAATAATGTGTAGGGTAAGTACGAAATAGAACGATGTTAAGATTCTAATATCACATTTGATAATCATTCTACAAAGAGAGATAGATAGTTATAAAACATAAATCGGGTAAAAGCTTTCACATACTGCAATTTGTCGGTATGACCCAGTACTAAGGCGTTAGTTGCCGAGAAGTTCGATACAATATGCCAGGCTGAATTGTAAAACGCAGACCAGGTCGCATTCAGATTTGCTCCTATGATTGCAATCTTCTTTGACATATGTAGTGGTGGCTCCATGTCAAACAAAGGCCTTGTAGTTGGTTTGCTTTTCACAAGTTGACATATAACATGAGATGCAACGAGTGGAGATGAGGATGTCACTAATGTCGAGTTTGGCGAAGATGGGACTGCTGATGTCAGCAATGATGACGTTGACGATGCTAATGTGGGCTGCGCTGAGGAAAAAACTGCTGATGCCACCAATGATGACGAGGATGATGCTGACGTGGGCTCTAATAAGGAGGAAACTTCTGATGTCTCCAGCGATGGCGAGGATGAAGCTGACTTGGGCTGTGATGAGGAGGAAACTACTGATGCCAACAATGATGATGCTGACGTGAGCTGTAAGGAGGAGGAACTTTCTGGTGTCTCCAACGTCGACAAGGGTGATTCTGACGCGGACTGTGATAAGGAGAAAACTACTGATGCCACCAATGATGACGAGGATGATGCTGACTTGGGCTGAGTTGAGGAGGAAACTACTGATGTCATCAATGATGATGCTGACATGGGCTGTAATGAGGAGGAAGTTTCTGATGTCTCCAACGATGGCGAGGATGATTCCGACACAAGCTCTAATGAGGAGAGAACTTCATATGTCATCTGTGATGACTTTGACGATGCTAAGGTAGGTGGTGCTGAGAAAGAAACTGTTGGTGCAACCAATGATGACGAGGATAATGCTGACGTGTGCTGTGATGAGGAGGAAACTACTGATGCCACCAATGATGACGAGGATGATGCTGACGTGGGCTCTAATAAGGAGGAAACTTCTGATGTCTCCAACGATGACGAGGTTGATGCTGACGTGGGATGTGATGAGGAGGAAGTTTCTGATGTCTCCAACGATGGCGAGGATGATTCCGACACAATCTCTAATGAGGAGAGAACTTCATATGTCATCTGTGATGACTTTGACGATGCTAAGGTAGGTGGTGCTGAGAAAGAAACTGTTGGTGCAACCAATGATGACGAGGATAATGCTGACGTGTGCTGTGATGAGGAGGAAACTACTGATGCCACCAATGATGACGAGGATGATTCTGACGTGGGCTCTAATAAGGAGGAAACTTCTGATGTCTCCAACGATGACGAGGATGATGCTGACGTGGGATGTGATGAGGAGGAAGTTTCTGATGTCTCCAACGATGGCGAGGATGATTCCGACACAAGCTCTAATGAGGAGAGAACTTCATATGTCATCTGTGATGACTTTGACGATGCTAAGGTAGGTGGTGCTGAGAAAGAAACTGTTGGTGCAACCAATGATGACGAGGATAATGCTGACGTGTGCTGTGATGAGGAGGAAACTACTGATTCCACCAATGATGACGAGGATGGTGCTGACTTGGGCTGTGATGAGGAGGAAACTACTGATGCCACCAATGATGACGAGGATGATTCTGACGTGGGATGTGATGAGGAGGAAGTTTCTGATGTCTCCAACGATGACGAGGATGATTCCGACACAAGCTCTAATGAGGAGAGAACTTCATATGTCATCTGTGATGACTTTGACGATGCTAAGGTAGGTGGTGCTGAGAAAGAAACTGTTGGTGCAACCAATGATGACGAGGATAATGCTGACGTGTGCTGTGATGAGGAGGAAACTACTGATTCCACCAATGATGACGAGGATGGTGCTGACTTGGGCTGTGATGAGGAGGAAACTACTGATGCCACCAATGATGACGAGGATGATTCTGACGTGGGCTCTAATAAGGAGGAAACTTCTGATGTCACAAGTGATGACAGCGATGATTCTGGTGAGGACTGTGCTGAGGTGAAAGCTGAAGGTGTCATCAATGGCGAGGAATATTCTGAGGTCGGGGACATCGATATTATCGACTGTTGTGACGACGCTGATACTTCCAATGAAATTGCTTCTGATGATACAAATATTGGTGGTATTGATGTCGAGAAATCGACAAAAGCAGTTTCGCTTTGGAAGTACGACAAAGATGGCTCGTAAGAGCTAGAAATATTAAAAACCGTTTGGATGATGTCATATGTCGAAGACAGGTCTACTGTAATAGTGACCGAGGGACATCCTTCTTGGACTTTCACACACTTGCCTTGCGACGCACAGTAAAGGTGATCTGCGATTTAAAAAAAAAGTTGATTTTACTTTTGAAAAAAACTTTTAAAAAAGATTTCAAAGAGAAATAATGAAAACTTTATTCGACGTAACTTGGATAAATTCAAGTAAAGCCCCAGTCAAATGAACTGAATGAGCAACGCAAAACATGCCTGCTCAGTGAAGAGTTCAGTTCTTTTGACCACTTGCTCAACTTTGCTCAGTCCTGTTCAGTCCCTGTTGCTTAAAACTTGCAAATGTTAGGTGTTGCTCAGCGTAATTTTCACTTCGTTTGAACGGGACTTTATATAAAAACCGATTTTAATCTAATGTGACAGCTTTATACCAATGTTGCAACGAAATGTGCTTTGAGTTTTGTAGCTGGCATTACTCTTCGGTCTCAACAAGCCGGAGGTTAAGGAAATTCACCCAAATATCATAAGCAGGGGAGGGGGGCATTTTTGTCTATTTATAAATACCAACGATAAATAGTGTAAATAAAAAAAACATGCAGAAAACAGGACAACGCAGTTATTTTAGGACATCTCAAGCGCACTTGCTAAGGTTACGTAAATAATTCATTCTCGAATACTTTGAAAACTAGGGAAATACATGATGTCAGCAACTTACTTCTTTGGCAATACGGATGAACCTTTCCGCAATGGTTGTAGCCTTCCATGACACAAGCTGCCCTAAAAAGAACGAAAAAGCTAACTTGTTATTTCTGTAGTAAAGCAATTAGACGTAAATTATTTAAGTGCAAATTTGCAGAATATATAAAAATGGCTTGAATAATACCGACACTAGAATAAAGATCTCAAAAACAAAATTAGTTCGGATTTTAACGGGTTAATTGCCCCAAATACGAAAAGACATTATAAGTCTAAAAGGACGGTATGAAATGGATACGAGGTTGTTGCAAAGTAATGCTGCGACCGAATATTACAGAGACAAGGGTAAAATTTGGGTTTCTTATTTCATCAATTGACCTTCGCTTTCACGAAAAGTTCGAATAATAGAGATTCAAATTAAAGAGGGCTTCTTGGGAGATTTGAGATTTTGTTCGATTTTTTGAAAGTTCGAATTAAACGAGTTCGAGAATAGATATCACAAGGCCTTTTTTAGATTGCAAATGCAAGCCACAGAGACCAGTATCAACGAATAAAGAATTAAGTACAAAGAGGCATATGATACATCTTACTTACAACGAGTGGCAATAAACAAATCCTGCTTTGCATGTGTAATTGCAAACAGAGGGTGCACTTGTAGCGTAAATTGACGATGAAGGCAAAACTGACAACGACTCATTGGGAGAAGGACTCGGCTGCACGTACACCGATTCATTGACAAACATCGATGACTGATCGACAGAAGAACTAGGATCCCAGAAGACTGTCGATGGTGAAACGTAAATAGACGGACAAACGGATGCTGTTGGAGGCTCAACACATGGCGCTGTTTCATTGTAACAAGCTGACCTAAAACGATGCAATAATCTCAGCTTAAATCTCAGGCATTATACAGATACAAAAGTGGCTCAATCAAAATTAGCCAATCAATAAACGCCTGAATGGAATCACATTCACTGATTGGTCAATTCTTAATTTAGAGATTGTTTAAGCGCTAGGGAGAATTCAGCTTAAGGTCTTTTAATTATAGGCATTAGTATAACAGTATAAACATAGTATAAAAGTATAAACTAACCACAAAATGCTAATCAAAAAACTTTCCATTAATTAAGACTGACATATCATACAGGATTTAGGCCACTTGAGCTCGTTATTCACATTCTAAAAACCAGCTTCAAAGTATAAAAGCATAGAAAACTTTTGTGCCCCCTTAAGGTATGAGGCCCTCAGTTAACTTTAGTCCATTATGACACTGACTACATGACGTTTAGAGATGTGGCATCATTCCAAAATAGAACAGAACAGCAACTAAAAGCCACTCTGAAACGGACTACCGTACAAATATGGAGTAACTTGACAATACTCCTACCCCTAATCCGTAATCCTGCCGCTAGAAATTTATCATTTTTCAAAAGAAACATCATACATGACACAAAAAACAAAAATTAAAACGAGGTAGCGTTTAAGCAAAACTACTTCAAGGATATCAAAGGGTCTCAAAATAGAATTTTCAAATGGACTTCAAAGGCACTTTTAGAACGTTCAAAAAGAACAGGGGAGGGCATTATGTGTCCCCAATTTCTCTGTTCAGCATTGAGTATGAGTACTCTATAAGCATTCAATTATATATAGTTTGCACCTCCAAACGAAGGTAACTTCAAGCAAAGAAATATCGTAGTTGGACAAAATACTCACTTCATGTTGCACTTATAACGACCAGGCGGACAGTGACAGTTTTGAAACGGAGACCGCCTGAAAACATTCATAGCATTGAAGTAAAGTGAATCTACTATTAAATCAATCTAAAAATCAAAATCTACGTGTGAAGAATATTCAATAATTGCAACCTTCTTTGATATAGAAATGCAAATTATGCTCATTTGTAGAGAATTAACGACTAACAACGAAAATTTTTGCAAAAAGCACAGCTAGAAGATATTATGTAAAGAAAAAAAGAAATGCAAGAACATATCCCAAGGACAAGACTTACCCGCATTTTGGGTCGCATATAGGACTCGCACCGACAAGGGGTTTGCAATTGTTTTCAACGGAAAGAATCTTTGGACATATGTACTTGAAATTAGTACAAAATTGCATCCAACCTTGAAAAACAAAACAATTTAGCAGAAATATCGAGCATTTGAAAGACATCAAAATCTGTGTATCTAGTTTTTACATCCTTTTACATAGCGATTTAAATCTATTTTACCAAACAAAAGCAGATAAAAGAACTGAAAGCGTGATTAAGAGCCAAGTTTTAAAATCGATTTGACAGCAAAGAATTGGTAAATGTTTTTTATTAAGGAGAAAAGAATCAGGATTGCTGGAAGTGGTAGAAATGTTAAAATCATGTTCAAATAGAAAGCCATAGCTCGGATCAAATCATGATCGGAAAACGAAAATCAATACAAAGTGATCAACGCACGCAAACGGCATACAAATTTGATTAGATCATGATCACTGTAAACATTAGATCAAGTAAACAACAAACTATAGGCAAACATAATCAGATCATGATCGGAAAACAAAAATCAATACAAAGTGATCAACGCACGCAAACGGCATACAAATTTGATTAGATCATGATCACTGTAAACATTAGATCAAGTAAACAACAAACTATAGGCAAACATAATCAGATCATGATCGGAAAACAAAAATCAATACAAAGTGATCAACGCACGCAAACGGCATACAAATTCGATTAGATCATGATCACTGTAAACATTAGATCAAGTAAACAACAAACTATAGGCAAACATAATCAGATCATGATCGGAAAACAAAAATCAATACAAAGTGATCAACGCACGCAAACGGCATACAAATTTGATTAGATCATGATCACTGTAAACATTAGATCAAGTAAACAACAAACTATAGGCAAACATAATCAGATCATGATCGGAAAACAAAAATCAATACAAAGTGATCAACGCACGCAAACGGCATACAAATTTGATTAGATCATGATCACTGTAAACATTAGATCAAGTAAACAACAAACTATAGGCAAACATTATCAGATCATGATCGGAAAGCATAGATCAACTAGGATTATTGAATCACAATCATCACGATTGTCATATCAAGTGTTATAGCTAAGACTTCGAAATAAATCTCTTCGTCATGTGCAAAATCCCAAATAAAGTTGCAATTTCTGTCTTTCTCTTCTTAATTTTTTCAAGTTAACATAAAATCACGCAGTAAGACATAAAGAAAAAAACATCCAAATGTATTGCAAAAAGTACATTTTCCAATCCAGTCTAATAACTATGTTTCTTCATAACTTTTGACCACTTTTGACAAAACCACGACATTTTGCCTATAACGTGCTGCTGCAGAAATGGAAGTTTTTGTTAGAAAAACTAGATAATACTCACCAGTATTACTGTCATTAAAATTGAATACTGGCAAATTTGGCATTGAGCATGATCCAGACACGCACTTGCGTTCATCAACACAATATGTTTCATTGCCAGGACACGTGATATTCAAAACAGACAATGACGAATTGTAGTCACAGACAGTTGTGTTGAGGATGCAGCTCTGCGTACCAGGACAGAATATTTCATCTTGTTGGCATGAAACACCAAAATAAGCTAACGTGTTGTCTTGTAAGTAGTTGCTCAGCTCTTGCAACGAGCATGGATAGCCAGCTGGGATACAAGATGCCAATAGCGGGCAATATGTGTGGTTTGCAGGGCATGGTGTACCCCATGGGGTTGAGCTGTTTCCATAACAGTCACCCACGTATGTCGTGTTAAATGTACACGAATCGGTCTTGTTTATACATTGAAACGTCAATGGGCAGAAATATTCTTCTAGTGAACACGTAACATCCCAAGGACTCATTCTGTTTGTAAAATAGTAGACAAAGATAGGAGATCCGTATTAAAAATCATTCAAGATTGCAAATGAAATGATGAAAACAATATAGGGAATTAGCTGTTGAAATGCTCACACAAGAAAGAAGTTAATTTAGAATAAGGACATGTTTTGACAAGGATACAAAGAAATTAAGCTGGGAAGCATATATTAAAATTTAAAGTAATGTTTGAAGTGAAAAGGTCTTTCTGGGACAAGAAATTATCATGCTAGATAAAATAACAGAAAAAGTTTTTTTGCATTGCTTGCAACTTATTCGTAATCATAGTGTGCTTTTGATACATACTATTATATTCTAATTATGAATAGATGAAAATGTATCCCTGTTGGATTCTTTTCTGTCGAATTCAATAAAATTGTGATCTTAATTTAAGCTGCATTTTGCCTTTTTTTTCTTCCTCTTTGTTAAACTGCTTTATTCATGGTGTCAAATGCACACGGTATGTCATTTATTTTTGCATAAAAAGTACATGAAATGTAAACAATATTTTTGTGGTACAAAATAGCTTTAAAAAGCAAACATTTTGAGGAATACATAAGCTTTTCGTCTGAAACTATTAAAAGTATAAAACGTCATAACATAGATCAAAACAGGTTTCGATTCACAACTGGGTATATATATATTTCCTAGCTTAGTGATTTGAACTATGTAATGATGTTTTATACTCTGAAGAGTGTCAGATGACAAGCTCAGTGACGACTCAAAATGTTTGCTTTTTTCAAAGCCAATTTTGCACGAAATGTCAAAAGTTGATGCATATAGGCTAAGACTAATGCCTAGATGGAAAAGGTACTACCTTCGTACAGAGTCAGGAAGTGGAAAACCATTTTTCTCTGTTTCGTTTTGCCATCTTGCACAGTGAATTTCGGCATCTCTGCATGTAGCCGCAAGATTAAGTGTTTCAACACAACACCCCTTAAATTAGAAAGTTAAAATTAAGGCCAGCAATACATTACAAGGCAACGGACAGCACCTATAATGGCTTAAGCCATCTGTCGATCAATTTTTGGCCAATCGATATACGAGTGAGTGATTCTACACTTATTGACTGGATAGTATTTGACTGACAGATTGCTTAATGCCACTCAAGTTTTTGTTACTTAGTTTTGAAAACGAATATTTTCGCCTTTTCATAAAAACGATTATCATGTGCGAATCGATAAGTCCCGACCATGTCTCACAGTTTCCTTGATAAAAACTTGAATTGGAAACATCATATTAAACATGTTAACAAGAATATCTCAAAATGAATTGGTATACTGGCAAAGATGAGACATTTTGTCCCAGCTCAAATTCTACGTAATCTTTATTTTGCATTCATTGCCCCCCATGCTAATTATGGACTAATTAACTGGGGTTGCGCTACCGCAACTGTTACAAAGACTGTACAAATAAGTCTAAATAAAGTCTTAAGATTAATAAACTTTGAAAATTATACTACGAGCACTAAACCACTATTTAAGCAACTGGGTATTTTAGGTCTTGAAGAAAGTTTCAATCTCGAACGTGCTAAACTTATAAATGATATAAACAACAGTCCTATTTTTGACAATTTTTTGGAACAGTAACCGAAGTTGTTTCAGTAACCGTTCTAATTTTGACATTTTTTTTGAAAAAACAACTGCTAGACATAGCTATTAAACTCATCAATCTACAGAAAAACTCTTCGCTTATCCTGCAATACGAACAAACTACAAAAAACGATTCTTCACATATAACAGCATTAAAACCTCTCCATATCAGAGAACAAGTAAGCAAACATTTATTTTGCAAATATTTCAAAAAATTGTTGTTGCACAATTATGAAGAAAATTCCTAAATACCTTTACTAAAGAAGAAAAATTTAACCGAACTCTCCCCCCCCCCCAGCCATGTCCTCCCTTACCCTCGTTATTTTGCATTCATCTTTTTAATCATTTTTTTCTTTTTTAATATTACTAACTTTGATTGTATTTTGATGTTCATTTTCTATTCTTAAAAAAATCAAACTCAACTCTTTTCGTAACAAAAATTTTAATCGTACTCTTTAGCTTTCATATCATATTCTCCTTGTATCTATATCTATACGCGTATTCCAATTATGTTCAACCTGTAAAAGGGCGCTAGGCTTGAAGACCGTTTCGGTTCTCTCGGCGTTCTAAGCAACTTAATTTTATAGCCTTTTTGCTTTGTAAACTAACCATTTTTTTAGAATTCATTATATCTGTAAATTATCTGTAATTTGTTGCTGAATTTAATGAATTTGAATTTGAATTTTTTTTCTTCTTAATTATAGTTTAAAATTCTTATTTTCTGTTGCAATTAATAGCCGTGCAGAAATGACCTTAATTCGACAAACTGGAAAACAAACAAAAATCATTTTAAAAAGGACAACATCCGCAGTTAAGGGTCTTAAAAGTTTGATTTCTTTCTTACACAGTGGCCGTCGCTAGCTTATATGCAGAGGGGAGGAGAGGGAGGGGGGGGCCACACTTGCTTTGCCGACAAAGAGTGAGAACCATCCTTGAGGGTCCCAAAGGGGGGTGCATATTCCTGTGTTCCTTTTAAGGAAAACAGCAATGTTCCAATGTTCTCGTTGATAAATAAAAAAATGTTCCCTTTTTCCCTTAAACTAGTAATAATGTTCCCATTTTTCTAGAGGAAAATTTAATTTGTTCCTGTGTTCTTGTACCATTTGATGATTTTCTGGTAAGTTTAAACATTTGCTAACAAAGCAACCCTACATGGCAATGGATTTTTTTCCAAGCGAATTAGCTTATTATTATGCTACAGACTTTCCATGAATGAGCAATTCCTATTAGCCTTTCAAGGTTGGTGAATAGTATAAATGATTCTGGATGCACAATAGAAAATCTCTACCACAAATGCAAATATATGGGGTGTGGCTTCTATAAGTTTCTACAGCAGAGTCCCCCTCCTAACTTTTAGAAGGGCACCCCTGTGTGTCAACCTCCCTCCCCCCCCTCATGCCCAACAGTAGCAACAGCCCTGATAACCTGCACTTTTTAAGATCTCGCAGAGGGGAGTGGGCAGCAATGCCATATTGATAATACCTTGCAGAAATTCATCACTACATGATGCCTTAAACACAACTTATTGATCTTTAGGCATATTTAACGTGCAGATATTAGGTAAAATCGGGACCGATTTGGCTAAAGCCCCGGTCAAACGCATCCAACATTTCATCCACACATTTTCTCCAAATATTTTTGAAAGTTCGTCGATATTTTTACGCGGGTGGTCAAACGCATCTAAACATATCACCCGACATTTCATCCAACATTCCTATCACCGTGCATCGCCTGCGCAGCGACGTGTTTACAGCACTGGCTTTACAGATGGCGAAAAGGCGCGTAAAATGAAAGTGAAAAATAATAGCTGATTTCCAATAATAATGAATAATAATGGCTGCCCTTTTTCTTGAAAGTTTCATCTGATGGACCCCTGCATTATCCAATTCACTTGTCGGTTTCACTTATTTTTTATTCTTTTTTTGATAGACCTCATTTCCCCTTAGGCCTGTGCCTAAATCTAGATTGCCATTGCTTCTCTCACTCTCCACGTCAGTGCGCCTTGATCCACCACCCTTTTCTCAGCTATGAATTTTTAGATTATTTAATTCTGTTCTTCACTTTTACCTTCCATTTTTCATTCGATAACTTTGAGAATAGTTGCTCACAAATCAATGAATTGACTTGGCGCTCAAATGAAAACAAACAGGTTGAAATTATGCGCATGCCCAGAAAATGAAATGTTGGGTGAAATGTTGGATCATGGTTGGATGGAGTGGTCAAACGCATCCAACATTACATCCAAAATTGAAAAACAAAACTTGTTGTTGATCGTGATCAAACTTCATCCAACATCGGTTTGCAAATGTTGGGTGACCCAACATGGGTGGTCAAACGCATCCAACATTTCATCCAACATTGGTTTTCTCCATTTTGGATGAAATGTTGGATGCGTTTGACCGGGGCTTTATAAATTTCAGAGACTAAAGGTGGCCGAACGCACGGCATTTTTGCACTTTTGATGACCTCGACTTGCTTTCCTAAAAATGTTTTAGCTTGGTTTTACTCAAAGAAACCGTTTTTAATTCTATCTATATTGTAATAAGACTTCTAATAAAACGACAATGAATAATGAATGTTGCTGCTGATACGGATTGCTTTGAAGGCAGACAGAAGTTATACAGTGGAAATGGTCTATCCAGACGAATATAGTTCTTTTCATTAGAAGACCAAATGCTCATTTCAAAAAGCAAATATGCTCATTTTTGGAGTCTTGTAGTTTATATAGAGCTTATGTAGACCGGTAAGATGGTTTATAATTTGCTCCTTTGAAAATGAGAAAGCAAAGTTGACAGCAGTAGAACTGTGTGGGTTTTGGGGTAGGGGCGAGCACCCCTCAGCTTTTGTTAATTTGTCGGGTAAAACACAGTTTTTAGCGCTTTGCCAGCAAATTTTGTCATTTGTCGGCAAATTTGCTTGTTTTTGTGGATGTTTGTGAGACTGGTTGATAAAGCTTGAGAGAAAGGATGTAAATGCACATCTGTAAAAATATTCATTTGAACATAGAATCACCTTTTGGTTTACAGGACCAGGGGCAAAAATACTGGGGTGTAGGGGGGTGACACCCCCAATCTAAATAATAGTCGTTTTCGCAGGGCAATCGAAATTTCGCAGAACGCCAAGCAGAACTTTATTGCCACGCAGAAACGCCACCTCTGAAGTTCGTTAAGGGCCGGTTAGGAATTTTGAAATGGAAATATCATATTTGCTATGAATCTCCCTTCCTGACAAGCGAACGGAACAGGTATATCAAGAAGAGCTCAGTTATTAGCAAAGCGAAAGCAATTGTTACAGAAAGTCATAGCCAATGATGATTAATGCAATGGTGATTGATGGATATATGTTTATGAGGGCAAGGTTGAGTCTACCCAAATTAATCTAAGTTGTAAATTATTTTCATGACAGGCACGGCGCCACTGGTGGGAGCTAGGGGACTGAAGGCCCCCACTTTGGTCAAGATAAGAATTTTTTATCATTTTTTCCATTACTTTCCAACAGTGTATGAAATAGAAAGAGAGTTAAACTGTAAGATGCTGATTTTGTTTGAGCTATTTACTAACTTATTCACGTATATTTTTATAATTTTTATTTTATTTGCATTCATTCAGTAAATCACTTTCTGTATCATTGCAATGTTTTTATTTTGGGTGTGTAAACATGGCCTTCTCGAGACAAGAAACTGCACATTTCTGTTCAGGAAATAAAATCAAAACAACATCTTCCTCTGTCATTCACAACTATCTGCAATTCGAAACGAAAGGTTACGGTTTCTTTCCTTCTTAACGTTTCCCAATTTTTCCAAATAAATAATAAAGTCTTTTTTGCAAAATTGCTTTTTGCTAAATTTAGTCATTGAGATGCGTTTCAGCCCTATTACAAGGTATAATTTCAAAAATTTTCTTTCACGTCGGACCCAACCAATGGGTCCTCCTACCTCGCTAATCTTGATTCTTAGCCCTTCCCCCGGGCTAAATTTCGTCGCGCCGTCTAAATCATGTACCCATATCATCATATGCGATGAAATACAAGCTTTATTACAAAGGAAAATAAAATTCGACATTTAATTTACGCTTACGTAGAAAAATAGCTATTTCATAAGCAATGAAGTTTCAAGTTTGTTTTTATTGCTTAGCAGTTTGTCCTTGGTAAAGACAAATGTACACTGGTAAAGCTTTCACTAGTAGCCTATAGACAAACCTTTGCTTTGAGGTCTGCAGGGCACCACTCAGTTTTGCAGGGCATAAACCCTTTTCCTCCTCCCCCCCCCCCAAAACCTATTGGCCAAGTTACGCCCCTGTACAAGACATTTTTATAGGGTCGAAGACTCCTGCGTTTCTAAAAGCACAGACGCTTACTACTCCAGCCAGTGCTACAGAAATATCTAACGAGTGCAGATGCTTTTTCAATCTGTCATTGCATATTACTGTTTATCTTTTACTCCTTATAAGGATGCTTTGATCAAATCTACTCCATCCAACCAATGATAGAATGGAAGCATTTTATCGCGATTTTATCACCAGCCATTTACTCAGGCCATTTACTTTAAGGCTTATTTTAAACTTCTAGGAAATTCCGATGACAGTAAGCTTCTAGTAAACCAAATTCATACATTCAAATCATGTTTGTGTAAGGATGTAAATAATGCTTTAATTAGTGCTTTTTGTGACGACTTTTCGCTTTTCAGTCTTAAATACGCAAGGCCTCACTTAAATGCCATGAAAATTCCCTCCAAAGCAGAAAAGGCCTCACTTTGTCTCCAAACTCTTCATGCAATATTGTTAGGTGTAATTTGCGTAAAAGTAATTAATGTAGCACTTTAAAAAGTTCTTCGTGCTTTCAAGTGTAAAAATTCTCAAAGGAGCGTGAAATTTGACAAATGCGTCAGCGGCTATTATGCAAAGTGATAATGTTTTTTACTAGTAGATCTATCGAAAGGGGGCCATTCATCAAATAGGTTCATGAAAATTCGGATAGTTCCCCATCCATAAACGAAAAATGCAGAAAATAGATTTGAGCAAACTAATTATTTGTTCGGGAGCCATAGCATGTTACCCTTGATTGTCTTAGCAAATCAGCGACGATTTTTGATCGAAGATTACGAAAGGTATACGTGATTTGGCATTCATGATTTCACGGGGTATTCTGGATGCTAAACTTGACCAAAAAAACTGGTTGAGATGGTTGGAATGCACAACAGCTCGGTAGAAATTGAGCTTCAGAGGGCAGTCCCAGACCAATTTGCAGAGAAAACGAACAGGTAACCTTTATCGGCCTATAAGTTTGAAAAATTGCCGACAAAATACCACGAGACTGCCAAAAACTTGTCGTCTTTGAGAAACAGATTCTTTCACTGGGGGGGGGGGGGCATATCAGCAACCCAACTTGCATTGCCTTGTTTTGGTTCATATATGACAGCAAGCAATACAAAGTTAGTATCAGTTTAGTAGGTAGTTTAAACATAAACGCGACACCTGCGCCGTAGCACTTAGATAAAGACAATGCACTTGTGCCTTGACTCTGACGCGGGGGTTGCTGCATTGTCTTGAAGCCGTCCATTATTTCTCCCGAACATCCCACTCCTTCCATCTCTTCTTTGCATACAATTTACGTTTCTCTTCGTAAGCCACCTGTATTATGCCTTGTGTCGCAGGTAGTACACAAGAAAACGTACGTTTACTAGGAATGTAACAGAACATATATACCAAAGCGTGCATCGCAGCTTAATCAATTTTCCTTCCAAGGCGGTGATTTCGCTTTAGGCCCGTGAACTGACCACGGTCGTAATACCATTGAAATCAAAAGAAAGTTTCGTTGCAAAATTGTTCGTGACAGCTCCCAATCTCAAGACAAGAAATGTTTTCATCGAAAAATATTTTGGCATTCATTTAACGCCTTTACATATTATGATAAGCGTTTATTATGACACAATTAAACATATATACTTTGATTTGAATCTGCCAGCTGAAATCCAATTTTCCTTGATTCTGCTTATTCAACAGAACCAGAAAAAGCAATCATTTTTGTAGGAGCCGGGTTATTTTTACGGAGCCTTAATGTTTTGATTCAATGTTGTCCCTGTTACTGAATCGATTTTCATTTAAGTTCATACAACAAATTGTATCTAAGACCACCAAATAACGGTTTTTGCGAGACCTCTTTAGTAACAGGGTTTACTAGCTGATATAAAGTGCTCTTTTTTATAACACAATAGAAAATTTAAAAAGCGCATTGCTTTTTATTCTAATTTTTCATATCCTTATGTCCTTCATATCCTATAATCTTTAAGCAGCAAACCATGCCTCGGTGTCTCATGAAGAGTGTTCTTAGAAAAAAGAATTGAATGAAACAATAAAAGCGATTCCGAGCAAAATGGCAGTGAAACTAACTTGGGAAAGTATGACGCAAAGAAACTAGTCCGTTGCGAAAACAGCAGAACACAAGAGATTTCCTTCAATGGACATTCCTTGTAGAAGTGTGAATTTCTTTGTTACAGGTTAACAGTCAAGTAAGTTTTCATAGGTTTTGTCAACAAAAATGTTTTTGAGCAAGAAAGACATGCAGCCGAGTAATAAATTCATTTTACGGTTGGACCGTGGGTGCCCTTTTGTTCAAAGAAATTAATTTATGGTTTCTGTGTACCTGTAGACCCAGTGAGTTGCGAAAACGCAGATGTTATTCTCATGGCAAGCTTGATCAAATGTCTTTATCTATGACGAGAGCCAAATTTTTTCAACAACCAGACCCTTTTTAAATATAAAACTAGGTGATATGCATTTTGCAATGAAAACTAGAAGTCAACCTGCTACCAGAATGCCGAACAACAAGAAATATCCGATCAATTTACAATTTTTTCGCTCAACAAAACAAGAATGGAGATGCGCTTGAGTATAATTAAGTGAGTTTCGCGTGAATCGTACAGTCGTTAAACTATTACATAATATTTAGCTTTAAAAACAAAGAGTTTACAGCCAAAAGATGCAGAGGCATCGTTCCAAGTATAGATTAGTTGCTTAATTTGCATTAAATAAATAAGAATTTCGCGAACACCTTTAATTAAAACAGCTCTTGGCGAGAAGAGCTTGCATAGATCAGAAAACATTAAGGGTTGCTTAATTAAAATAGCCTACATTGTTGAGCTAATTCATTGTATACCAGAAAATGTTGAAGGCTTGATTAGCTTTTCTGGATTAAGCCAATTGTATTTTCAGATCTAAAAACCAGTAAGCCACAGATATGGATTTTCTAAATATTTATAGGGATCATGGGAAAAGCTTCCGCCATTCTGAAAACAAAAGGCGATTAGCCGAAAACATGATTTTTCCAGACTGAAGCAGAATGTAGAGTTACGAGACAGCATGTAAAGCATGATACGTACAATCTGAAGATAGGTTTATACATACTTGTTCATTTGTACATTTGTGGCTGCATGAAACTTCAAGGCCCCAGATTAAAAGAAGCAACGAAAGGCCTATGAGAAATAAGACGTGAAGGTAGAACAAAACGAAAATGAGTGAGTTGAGCAAAATTAACAAATGACCTTTGATCAATGATCGTGAAATCAAAAATTGGATAATGGTTTTGGCTTCGTGTGCATTCGTATGCGGGAAGTAAGGTGACATTATCGCTAGAGCCAGCAACCAAGTGCGAGTAATAAATTAGTAGTTTAGTAGTTAGTAGCGTTTTTCACTCACCATTGAGCTTTTTGCAACTTTTAAATCTATTCATGACGTCTTAACCAGACATGATCAATAAAGAAACAAGAAAATGCTTACCTAGTAATTCTTTCATGACTTTTGATCAAAAAACATTCGTCGTTACTCTTTTTCTATTCTTATTTTCTCAACTGTTCACAATCTTCTTTGGAGTCAAATTTGCCAGCAAATCTTGTATGGCCGCTCCATGAACTAATGATCCTCTCGTCTTTCACAGTCTCTCAAATGAATTGTCCGAAGGAGGAGCGAAACAAAAGTTGCTATTAATTAATAATAGAATGACTTTGTGTTTGTTTCTGAGTCGCTATGGCTACACTGATAAAAGTCTGATCATTATGGGTAAAATCAGTACCATTTGTCGCAATAAATCAGTGGCGTGTTCTATTGCTGCCTTCAGAGTTTGACTCAACTCGATCTGAAATCTTGAGATATCCTTTGAAGAACAGAATGATTTCTAAAATCCAAGCTTGCTTACGTCGAATGTGCGGCGCAACGACTGACATAACAAAGACAACTATTTCTAGTGCTCTCCTGAGGGTATGTGCTGATGTTCCTTCAAAGCCCAGGGTACCCATTGGCCTCGTGTTTTCTATTGTATAGAAACACATTGTGCTGCTTGTCTCGAAGTAGAAACAAAACAATTGGTTGGCAGGCAAATTTCATGGTAGAGTTCAACTTCAACGGCCATATGCATTTGAAACATAACGACAGATGTTTTCAACATTTGAGTATTAGGGTTTCATAGGGGCATCGGGATGAGATGGTCATATGCGTTTGCGTCTTTTTCCCTATTTTCCATCGTTTATGAGGTTACATTATCTTGTGACCATGGTGTCATTTGCCAGAGTATGTTTCGGAATTGTTACCGAACTGCAGCGCAAGGTAGAGAGATTTTAAATGAAAATATTAGAAAAGAAGTAAACACGATGCTGTTGTAACCTTTTTAGCCAGTTGTATCTGCACAATGATAAACGCGCTGTAGTGTTTAACAATGTAACATGTTTGTCTCTGGGGTGTGGGGTATTAAAAGCTATCTGTTTGAATCAGAGACAAGTATCCTAAACAAAAGTACAAGCTACTATGGTTTCATCCAAGTCGTCATAACAGGAGATAAAAGGCCATGTTTGAAGCAAGTATTTCGTATCCTTTGCTTCGAAGAAAACGCGAAGGGTTTTTAGCAGGGTATAAGCAAGATAAAGACAGTAACAACACTTCACTTAGCAAGTCAAAAATTGCTGAAATTAAGCCCTGAAATAAATACGCTAAACAAAATTGATTCAAATTCAATAAAAATTACTTAACGGGATAATGATTAACGAATTTAAACAAAAAGCATTCACAGTTCTTATAGTATATTTGGTAAAACAAAACTTGATTTAGTACCAAATTGATTGATTCTTGACAAATGATACAATAGTGCTCGTCTGTGCTTTGACTACGACTTCTTCATATTTGCACAATCTAAAAATCAATAGTGATATATATTTTATGTGTCCTTTTGAAATTCAATGGCGCCCTTAATAGTGAAATTACCCGAAGCTCTTTTACTTATAAATATCGCGTGATGATATCGAAACCTCACATTAAGTATTCTGCTGATAAAAATGTTTTTGACCAAGGCAAAGTTACAGAGGAGGTCGAGCCTCCTTAGCTATTGCTTAAAATTGTCCTATTTCTTCTTCTAGTCGTTGTTTTTTGAGAAAATTTTCATATACGTTCCCTTGATTCTATTCATAACACTTTACTAGAAAAATACCACCTCCCTTTGGTTATGAGCTGCACTTCTAATAATCAATAGACCCCGTTTACACGAGACCTGGACCAGATCGGATCCAAAAGTATCCGGATACTTATGCTTATTGCTAACGCGCATGCGCTTTTCGAATATTGGCGCACATTTGACATTTTCAGAACTTCCTAAAAGGGGTAAATTTTCGTGGACTGATAAAAAAACTGCGCTACTTTTAAAAGTAGTATTGGACTACAAAACTGCAAAGCTTGCAGGTGGACAGGATTGGGAAAATATGAGGACAAAGTAAGACAACATATCGTAATAGTTTCGTAATAATTCTTCAACACAGTAGTCGATCAACTTGATGTCCGGTTTTCTGGCACCAAAAAGCCACGGATTACATATTCAAACTACCTTGAATTGAAAAATATTCTGTCCAACTTTCGACAAATAACGTAGACGGTTCCGATCTGGACCAGATTCACCCGTTTCCAAAAGTATAGGGATCCACCAGTTTCCGTGTAAACGAAAGGCCTATCTGTACTCTTTTGGATCGCTCCGCTCTCGTGTAAACGGGATCTAGAAGCTTTTTCGTTGGTTAAGTTGGTATTTCATAAAAGGTAAAGCGAAGCCTTTTTGCATACAGGAATATACATGAAAAGTAGCAGAAGAGATAATTAAGTAGAATTTTGTCATCAAGAATTTCGTAACTCTAATTCGAGATCAAAATAGTTTACAGCATTTCTTTACCGGTAAAAGTTTTAGTCGTACTCGTTTATAAAAAAATTGGCACGTGAGTCTTTGGTGATTGTATACCTACTCCAAGGGTTGTTTTTCAAATTGGATTTTCTCGACGCAAAAAAGCGTTGGCGAGTTAAGCTCATTCTTAAGATCTGGCAGGGATCAGGAAAGAAATTGCGAGCAGAACAGGTTTAATAATTCATGCAACCGTTTCACGTCTCATGTAAAATTAATGCTGTACCAAACTAAAGATTAAATTTGCAGAGCACTCTTACATTGAAATACGGAAATAAATCCGGAGAAACATGTCAGTTTTAAGAAAAAGCGGCTGCAAGCACTTTCACCTGCGATTATTATGAGCAGGGAGTCAATGCATAATTAATTTGAATGATCTAGATATATAAAGATATGTTCACTTGTTAGCTAAAATTCTCTATACTTTCAACTTTAGAAGTCTCAGTGTTGTTTGCACACTGCAATAAACCCGTTTATTGTCCGAGGACAGAGCCCTGAGGCACTCCATGGTTTATATTCTTCCATTCACTGTAAGATCCATTAACTTTGACACGTTGCTTTCTAGAGTTCAGAAAGCTATATATGAAATTTAAAGCTTTTCTTGTGAAACCATAAGCTTCTATTTTAGCAATTAATAGATCGTGGTTTAAGCAATCGAATGCTTTGGAGAGATCTACGAAAGTAGCCCCTGTGCTCATTCTGTTGTCTAATGCCTTTTTGCAGTTTTCAACACAACCTAATAGGGCATACTGTGTACCATGTCCTTCCCTAAAACGACAGATTAGAGGATTTAGAAAGGTACTAGCATATGGCTTTATCTGCATTCCAAAACGTTGATGGCAAGGCTGAAATAGGTCTATAATGTTTCTTGACAGGAGCATTGCATTTTTTAAAATATGGATCATATATCAGCTTTTTTTAGGCTTTCAGGGAAGCTGTTGTTTTCTACGCATATGTTAAAACTTCTATGAAGAAAAAGGAAACAAAATTTTTCTTGAAGTATTTGCCAATAAATTGAGTGAAACAACCGACAACTTTTCATTTGCCGGCACGTTTGAATATCCACCGAAAAAACATCCCCACATTGCATTTTACAGCCTCAGCTTGTTCTTAATTTGTTCTTAACTTTTGTCCAATTTTAAGGGTTGTGTTCTTATAAAATTGATTTTATAAAAAAGGGTGTTCTGCGTTTGAAGTGCTAGGAACAGAGGTTTAAATTGTGCATGGTTACTAATTCTTTTGTGTTGCGACACTTTTCATGCCCCAGCCGTTTTAAGGCCAACGTTACTTGGTTAAAAATTTAAGTTAATATTTAAGTAAATTTTAGTTTTCTTCAGAACACTGTTTAGTGCATGCACCTTTGGGGTTTATTTTTATTCGTGCGATTTCTTTTTACAAACAATTATAATTACTTGACAGCTTGGAATATCGTGATTGATACTTAACTTACTTAATCAAAGTAGAAACCAGCATAAAAGAACCTGGTTTTTAAGAACCTCGAGGCTGAAATTAAACCAGCTTAAAGTAAATGAGGTTATGGTATGTTGCATTCTAAATGGCCAACCCAACAAGACAAATGCATTTGATTGGTTGAAAGGTAACGTGAAAAATAAAGCTTACTTAACTGTGTCAGTGAAAATCTTTCCGGTGGAAAACATTGTTAATATGTGCGAGGCTTAAACGTATATAAGAATCTTGTTAAGAACATTACGGGTTGGAATTTAGAATAGCAGCCTGTTAATTAAGAAACTATTCAGGCTGCCAGAGAAAGACCTTGGTTCTTTCATGCAGGTTTCTACTGTACTTATTTAGGGCTGTTCAACAGGGCTTGTATTCAATTCGTAGGTAGGGCCTGAAAAGCGGGGTCTGACACACTGCCAACCTCTTTATACTCCAAGAAAAACCTGAAATTCAGAATCAATGCTCTTTTGAACAATGCTCAACGCAACAAAAGGTTCGAAAAAGCTCTATCATTTCAAAAAAGTGGGGGTGGGGCCATGCCCCCTCCTTCGTAGGAGGCCCTGCTGCTGTCAATTTAGTAAAAAAGTAAAGAAACTTTTATAGCACAAATGTCTGTCATGTGACTAATTCTAATCTATGTTCACTTTACAGCCTCTGCTGGGTGAGGGTGGCAGAAATAAAACAAGAAAAATTTTATTCAATCTGTTAAGATGTGAAGGAGATAGAACAACGCATGGGTTGAACAGAACAGAACGATTACTTTATATCAACTTCAAACGGCCTAAACACATAACTGTAATACTGTAAACTGTAAATCTGAAACTCTATATAAACATGGGTCACATGAAGTAATGCTTCTGCACGTAATCTATTAGGTTACTACACAATCATTTTTTTTACATTAATCGAGCCACCTAACCACTTGATAAGCCAGGGGCATGTACCTGATATAACAGGATTACTAAGAACAGCTAAACCTTATATTGAAACAATGTTATTCTTTTGGATCAACGATCACCACGTCGAAAACAAACATATGCTGTTCTTTTATCTGCTATTCAAAATGAATCATGTATGTATCTTTTTGTCTGTTGTTTCCCAGAACTGTGTGGATTTTTGAAACCTATACCTTTTTGAAAGTCTGATGATGAATGGCCTTGGAAGGACAGTAACAAATATGTCTAATGTCTTCAACAGTGAAATCTGCGAAAAAGCAAAATTAATTGTCAAACTGTAGTATGTTTCCTTTATAACAGTGGAATGAACGAGAATATAGCCATGGGATGCCCCCCCCCAATATGAATTTTGTTCCAATATTTTCGGTTTAACTTGTAATTTTTATTACTTTTGTATGTATGATTGCATTAAAGTGGATTCATTTTTCTTTGGTTTTTTTGCAATTGATCTGAATATTTTGTGTGCCTGAATATTTCGGGGAAGGATGTGTGCCTGCCGCTTAATTGGGGTCACCCCCATTTACAATGAAAATTAAAAAGGAAGTTAAGTACAGAAGTATGCTCAAGGGTGCATGGCCACTGACTGGAGCACATAGCCATGTCTGCTCCCAGCATTGTCATGTGCTAGTAGCAAATATAGTTCTAGCTATGTGCAATGAATATATGTGTTATTTTTTCTAAATCTATAAACTACCATGGAAGCTGTACCATTTTCTGCAATATGAAATGTTAAGCAAAAATAGAAGTTTAAAGTGCCTGTGGCATGATTTTCGTACTTTTGAGATTATATATCTATTCTTATGTGAAAAGGCCTGTTATTTTCATTTCTGAGGTTAGTTTTTACGTTTCGCGAGAAATGAAGGAGTTATTGGCGATCTTCTACGCCAAAATTAGCCATCTTGGTTTTCAGAATGAGTAGACTGTGACGTCACGGGAGGAACCCGATCGCCTCCTCCTTCGAGTTTTTGTATCGTAGTCAATGAGGGAAATCTAATAGGTCCAAGATGAGCGATATTTCCAGAGAAAGTAGTGGCAGCGAGGATGAGATTTTTTTAAGGTAGCGCTTACATTGTTACAATAACGAGTTCCTCCCATGACGTCATAAGAGAACGGCGAATGACGATAAAGCGACTTGGCTAGGCCGCACTATTTTGCTTAATTTCAACATCAAAACGCTTTTATTTCAAAAAAAAGTTCAGATCTACTATAAGAGCAGTGCAACGATTCAATTAAGAGAATAAAAAAATCATGTCACAGGCACTTTAAGCCCTCTTCATTCATTTTGCCCCCCCCCCCCTATTCCAACCTCAGTCCGGCGGCCCTGTATAACCAAAAACATTTTTGGTACCACAAAACTTGAGTACCACATATGTTCTGATCTGTGTCGGACGAAAGTGCTTTAGTATGCTATGCTATGTTTCCTAGGCCGAGCCTTTGCTTACCTATGAGCGTGAGCTGCGACACTGGTCAGGTGATCACTAACTGGTTTGGGTCAGTCTGCACCTTAATAAACATATTTTGTTCACCAAGATTTAATTATAAAAGAGAAATTTCTTATCTAATACATTGTGTGGCCTTTCTTTCTTTGATTTCTTTGAATTCTTTGATTTAAAGTTGGTAAATCAATTAAAGTATTATTTTAGCTTTGTCAGCTTTTTGATTTTATCTACAGTTATGTTTAGTAGGTTCGAATACTTTAACCTAGGATTTCCTTAGTATTTTCCTTAGGATTTCCTTAGTAACTATTTAACATACTCTGTGCTTTTTCAACCCTACAAACGTGAGCTATGTATTTAAGATGTTGAGTATATATAAAGGTTTTAAGGGAGCACGTACCAACTATATTCACCCAATTTTGTTGTTGGTGTAAACAAACTTATACTCTCTCTCTTCAACGTTCTTTACACAATAAAACTAACAATAAAAAAAGAAAACTAGGATAAAAACTATTTAATCTGCAGTTGGAAATTTGGCATTTATGGGTTTTCTAATAAGTACTTTGAATAAATGGAGATAAATTGAGTTTTTCAGGTCTTGTGATAGTGCCTCCCATACTTTCCCCTTATGAATCCGACCGTATTCGATTCCAAAGCTAGTTGTTATGGTAGGTTAACTTAAGTTTTCTTTTACTTCGAAAATTTGTTCTTTGAAGCTAGGATAACAGGGGGAGAAATTCTGGAAAATGGTTTTGGATACT